CCATGGCTGCGCTGACACAGATGTTGTAAGTGGCTAGAGTGCCATGGCTGCGCTGACACAGATGTTGTCAGTGGCTAGAGTGCCAAGGCTGTGCTGACACAGGTGTTGTTGGTGGCTAGAGCGTCATGGCTGCGCTGACACAGATGTTGTCTGTGGCTAGAGCGTCATGGCTACGCTGACACAGATGTTGTCTGTGGCTAGAGTGCCATGGCTGCGCTGACACAGATGTTGTCAGTGGCTAGAGTGCCATGGCTACGCTGACACAGATGTTGTTGGTGGCTAGAGCGTCATGGCTGCGCTGACACAGATGTTGTCAGTGGCTAGAGTGCCATGGCTGCGCTGACACAGGTGTTGTTGGTGGCTAGAGCGTCATGGCTACGCTGCCACAGATGTCAGTGGCTAGAGGGCCATGGCTGTGCTGACACATGTGTTGTTGGTGCGCTGACACAGATGTTGGCAGAGGCTAGAGTACAATGGCTGTGCTGACAAAGATGTTGTTGGTGGCTACGGTGCCGCTAGCCATGGCTTCGCTGACAAAGGTGTTGTCGGTGGCTAGAGTGCCATGGCTGCGTTGCAACTGATGTCGGTGGCTAGAGTTCCATGGCTGAGCTGACACAGATGGTGTCAGTGGCTAGAGTGCCAATTCTGCGCTGAGATAGGTGTTGTTGGTGGCTCAAGTGCCGTGTCATGCCTGCGCTGATACAGATGTTGTCGGTGGCTACGATGCCGCTAGACATGGCTGCGCTAACACATTTGTTGTTGGTGGCTAGAGTGTCATGGCTGCGCTGACAAAGGTGTTGTCGGTTGCTGGATTGCCGCTAGACATGGCTGCGCCCACACAGAGGTTGCCAGTGACCAGAGTGCCGCTAGCCATGGCTGTGCTGACACAGGTGTTGTCGGTGGCCAGAATGCCGCTGGACATGGCTGCGCTGACACACGTGTTGTAAATTGCAGCATACTGTCCCTCATTACCCTCAACCAAGTTCTACTGCTCGCACGTAGTCCCCCATTAATCCACCATCATGTCCACCTCCTACACGTAGTCCCCCATTAATCCACCATCATGTCCACCTCCTACACGTAGTCCCCCATTAATCCACCACCAAATCCAACTGCTCGCACACAGTCCCTGATTAATCCACCACCAAGTCCAACTGCTCGTACGCAGACCCTTATCAATGCACTACCAAGTCCAACTGCTCGTACGCAGTCCCTTATCAATGCACTACCAAGTCCACCTGCACGTACGCAGTCCCTTATCAATGCACTACCAAGTCCACCTGCACGTACGCAGTCCCTTATCAATGCACTACCAAGTCCAACTGCTCGTACGCACTCCCTTATCAATGCACTACCAAGTCCAACTGCTCGTACGCAGTCCCTTATCAATGCACTACCAAGTCCAACTGCTCGTACGCAGTCCCTTATCAATGCACTACCAAGTCCACCTGCACGTACGCAGTCCCTTATCAATGCACTACCAAGTCCAACTGCTCGTACACAGTCCCTTATCAATGCACTACCAAGTCCAACTGCTCGTACGCAGTCCCTTATCAATGCACTACCAAGTCCAACTGCTCGTACGCAGTCCCTTATCAATGCACTACCAAGTCCACCTGCACGTACGCAGTCCCTTATCAATGCACTACCAAGTCCAACTGCTCGTACGCAGTCCCTTATCAATGCACTACCAAGTCCAACTGCTCGTACGCAGTCCCTTATCAATGCACTTCCAAGTCCACCTGCACGTACGCAGTCCCTTATCAATGCACTACCAAGTCCACCTGCACGTACGCAGTCCCTTATCAATGCACTACCAAGTCCAACTGCTCGTACGCAGTCCTTTAATCAACCACCATGAAGTCCAACTGCTCGTACACAGTCCCTTATCAATGCACTACCAAGTCCAACTGCTCGTACGCAGTCCTTTAATCAACCACCATGAAGTCCAACTGCTCGTACGCAGTCCCTTATCAATGCACTACCAAGTCCAACTGCTCGTACGCAGTCCCTTATCAATGCACTACCAAGTCCACCTGCACGTACGCAGTCCCTTATCAATGCACTACCAAGTCCACCTGCACGTACGCAGTCCCTTATCAATGCACTACCAAGTCCAACTGCTCGTACGCAGTCCTTTAATCAACCACTATGAAGTCCAACTGCTCGTACACAGTCCCTTATCAATGCACTACCAAGTCCACCTGCACGTACGCAGTCCCTTATCAATGCACTACCAAGTCCAACTGCCCGTACGCAGTCCCTTATCAATGCACTACCAAGTCCAACTGCTCGTACGCAGTCCCTTATCAATGCACTACCAAGTCCAACTGCTCGTACGCACTCCCTTATCAATGCACTACCAAGTCCAACTGCTCGTACGCAGTCCCTTATCAATGCACTACCAAGTCCAACTGCTCGTACGCAGTCCCTTATCAATGCACTACCAAGTCCACCTGCACGTACGCAGTCCCTTATCAATGCACTACCAAGTCCACCTGCCCGTACGCAGTCCCTTATCAATGCACTACCAAGTCCACCTGCACGTACGCAGTCCTTTAATCAACCATCATGAAGTCCACCTATATACACACATTCCTTCCTCAATTCGCGACCATGCCCCACGAGATGCCTCCCTACACCCTGATAACATCCTCCCGTGCCCTGCCAAAGAACCACCCCACCCCCCCTCCCTCCTGAACACCCCGACCCCTTCCCTCCCGAACAACCGCACCCCCCATCCCCTACCCCACCCCACCTCCCCTCTACACTTACATCCAGCGCACCTGCAAGTCTCCGAGTATAAGTATCAATGTTAGGAGGGTAATCTTGACACCTTGATGATTGAAATGTTATCCGACATTCCAGACTTCCAGACCCGGCAGCGCAGTGAAGGGGATTACGTCTATCTTCGTGTATCAGCTTCCTACTCCTATCAATCATCCAGTGCAGTTGATTTTCTGTCATCAGCTTGGGAAGAGTTGATCTTGTACTTCATTACCCTTGTTTTACTCCGTGTACTTGTGGTCGTGTTAGGACTGCACGATACCTCCCATCAATCCTTCTGTATCGTCTAGGCAATCAATCCTTCTGTATCGTCTAGGCAATCAATCCTTCTGTATCGTCTAGGCCCACCAATCCTCCTGTATCGTCAAGGTCCATCACTCCTCCTGTGTCGTCTAGGCCAATCAATCTCTGTATATCGTCTAGGCCAATCAATCTCTGTATATCGTCTAGGCCCATCAATCTCTGTGTATTGTCTAGGTCCATCAATCCTCCTGTGTCGTCTAGGTCCATCAATCTCTGTGTATCGTCTAGGCACATCAATCCTTCTGATCGTCTAATTCCATCAATCCTCCTGTATCGTCTAGGTCAATAAATCTCTGTGTATCGTCAAGGACCAACAATACTGCTGTATCGTCAAGGCCCATCAACCCTCCCGTATCGTCAAGGCCAACCAGTCTCTGGGTATCGTCTAGGCCATCAATACTCTTGTATCGTCTAGGCCCATCAATACCCTTTTAGCATTTCGGCCCGTCAATAACCTATTAGCATCCCGGCCCATCAATACCCTATTAGAATCTCGGCCCGTCAATACCCTATTAGCATCCCGGCCCGTCAATACCCTATTAGCATCTCGGCCCGTCAATACCCTATTAGCATCTCGGCCCGTCAATACCCTATTAGCATCTCGGCCCGTCAATACCCTATTAGCATCCCGGCCCGTCAATACCCTATTAGCATCTCGGCCCGTCAATACCCTATTAGCATCTCGGCCCGTCAATACCCTATTAGCATCTCGGCCCGTCAATACCCTATTAGCATCTCTGCCCGTCAATACCCTATTAGCATCTCTGCCCGTCAATACCCTATTAGCATCTCTGCCCGTCAATACCCTATTAGCATCTCGGCCCGTCAATACCCTATTAGCATCTCGGCCCGTCAATACCCTATTAGCATCTCGGCCCGTCAATACCCTATTAGCATCTCGGCCCGTCAATACCCTATTAGCATCTCTGCCCGTCAATACCCTATTAGCATCCCGGCCCGTCAATACCCTATTAGCATCTCGGCCCGTCAATACCCTTTTAGCATCCCGGCCCGTCAATACCCTATTAGCATCTCTGCCCGTCAATACCCTATTAGCATCTCTGCCCGTCAATACCCTATTAGCATCTCTGCCCGTCAATACCCTATTAGCATCTCTGCCCGTCAATACCCTATTAGCATCTCGGCCCGTCAATACCCTATTAGCATCTCGGCCCGTCAATACCCTATTAGCATCTCGGCCCGTCAATACCCTATTAGCATCTCGGCCCGTCAATACCCTATTAGCATCTCGGCCCGTCAATACCCTATTAGCATCTCGGCCCGTCAATACCCTATTAGCATCTCTGCCCGTCAATACCCTATTAGCATCCCGGCCCGTCAATACCCTATTAGCATCTCGGCCCGTCAATACCCTTTTAGCATCCCGGCCCGTCAATACCCTATTAGCATCTCTGCCCGTCAATACCCTATTAGCATCTCTGCCCGTCAATACCCTATTAGCATCTCTGCCCGTCAATACCCTATTAGCATCTCTGCCCGTCAATACCCTATTAGCATCTCGGCCCGTCAATACCCTATTAGCATCTCGGCCCGTCAATACCCTATTAGCATCTCGGCCCGTCAATACCCTATTAGCATCTCGGCCCGTCAATACCCTATTAGCATCTCGGCCCGTCAATACCCTATTAGCATCCCGGCCCGTCAATACCCTATTAGCATCCCGGCCCATCAATACCCTTGAACACCTTGGACACCAGAAATGGGCTCTTATTAATCCCATGGTATCATCATCAGATGACGCTTTAATCCTGATTAACATATATCTTTGCAGTGTTTCCCCTTTTCCACACGTGAATTAGAGACTTTAAGACAGATAAGAAAATAGAGTAATATCTGCGATGCTTTGAAATACATACTCACCTATTTGACACTGCTGTTCTCTCCTGCAGCCGGTGCTGAGGATGGGGGAGCCCGTAGCTACGAGGGGAGATGCCCCGAGGAACGCGCACAGGCAATGGAGTCGGCTAAACAGGACAAGTCGGTGGTGTTCGTTCCCGTCTGCAGTGGTGACGGCACGTTCGCGGAGGTCCAGTGTCACGCCACCGGCTACTGCTGGTGCAGCACCAAAGACGGCCACCACATCCCGGGGACGTCCGTGAAAGACCGCCGACCTCGGTGTGGGAGAGGTAGACGAGGTCAACGCTGATTTATTATTCTGATATAAAAAAATTCATTTGTGTCTGGTTCAGTTCGCTCTCTTCCTCATTTACGTTCAGATAACGTTCAGATGACATATATTAACGAGCTATATCGCGTTTAATAGGAGGCACGGTCGGCCCAGTCGTCTATGGCGCCGCAATTCGCTGTGCAGAGTTGCGTCCCTTGGGCACACCACAAACCTGTGATTGTGGGTTCGAATCCTGCTTCGCCCGAACCATAGCGTGCACGTGGTTCTCACCGAATTGATAAACTTGAGAGACCGGCATCACTTCGGGCTTTCCTCTAGCATCAACCTGATACGCCGTGGTAGAACTGGAATACTGTTCAAAGTGGCGTAGATCCCAACTCGTTTGATAGAAGTTCCATACAGGCAATTGTAGCTGTGTAATTGAGAAATCACGAGAATCGGTTGATTCCGAGAGTTGATTTTCTCAAACATGATTTCTCTATAATTTTGCATAATGACATACAATGACGTCATCACAATGATGTATCTGATGACAACCTACTGAATGTTGAGTGAGAACACCTGACAGAAGACTTCACACGAAGCGTTTTTGTTCCCACAGGTAGGCGCAAAAAGAGGAAGCCGGGAAAAAAACGGAAGAAAAAGCGTAAGTTTGTTTTTAGTACCATTGTATCAATTCCGCCTCCTCAACACAGTCGTATTGTTGGGGCCAATATAATAAATAATTATAACAATAATAACGATAATGTGCATGACCACACCTAAAACCATGCTGGAAAGGTTGGTACCCCGGTCAGTGGATTAGTGAGCACTTAACCTTCATTCTCATCTCCCTGGGGAGTATACAAGCGTATACAGTATCATAAGCGTTTCCACACACCACAGGCACGTGATGATGGTCAGTTCCGAGGGTCTGACAATACAAGCATAACCGAAGCGTAGATATCGACAAATAACATTTGTAGACGCATGATAAGGTCATTATAAGTGTTTCAATACATCGTAGACGCATTGGGCCGTTGGGTAGCCTCGTGGTTAAAGCGTTCGCTCGTCACGCCGAAGTCCCGGGTTCAATTCCCCACATGTGTACAATGTGTGAAGCCCATGTCTGGTGTCCCCTGCCGTGTTATTGCTGGAATGTTGCTAAAAGTGGCGTGTAACCATACTCACTCACTCACTCACTCACTCACTCGTAGACGCATGTTGAGGTCATTACAAAGGCATGGGTTTCATACATGTGTTGGAGCTACCCCTGCTCTGGTATCTCTCTCACACGCACACGTACACGTACACGCACACGCACACGCACACACACATACATATATATATATATATATATATATATATATATATATATATATATATATATATATATATATATATATATATATGTACACAAGCTTCTAGCGCCGTGGACCGTGCCTCACACATTCCTGGTGGATAATTGGCGAACACCTGTGCGAATGTCGGCGTTTGCCTGGCCCAGTGCGTCCATTGAGAATGTCTGCTCTCTCTGTCGTGGTGAGGGCAGATTATTGTCGGCGCGGTGAGATACGGGACTCTCTCACGCACAGCGGGAACAGTAGAGGTCACAAGCCCAGAAACAGCCAGATTGTGTGGTCGCCTAAAACAGTCGATCGTGGTGTCTGGTGATAAAAGTGACTCTTGTAGTATTCCGAATTAATACGATTATCGCTTCAGCTGACTATACCACGACCCAGCTTGTTATTACAGGCGTATTTGATTGGTTGTTGATACCTTGGATATCAAACTCTCCAGTCATAGCTGGAACGTACCAATCCACACTGTCATATTCGCAACCGTAAGTGCATTGTGTACATAGGTACTAGTTGGCATATATGTACCCGGCGGTAGTCGTTGGCATATATGTACCCGTCGGTATTCGTTGGCATATATGTACCCGGCGGTAGTCGTTGGCATATATGTACCCGGAGGTACTCGTTGGCATATATGTACCCGGAGGTACTCGTTGGCATATATGTACCCGGCGGTATTCGTTGACATATATGTACCCGGCGGTAGTCGTTGGCATATATGTACCCGGAGGTAGTCGTTGGCATATATGTACCCGGCGGTAGTCGTTGGCATATATGTACTCGGAGGTACTCGTTGGCATATATGTACCCGGAGGCATTCGTTGGTATAAATGTACCCGGCGGTATTCGTTGACATATATGTACCCGGCGGTAGTCGTTGGCATATATGTACCCGGAGGTAGTCGTTGGCATATATGTACCCGGAGGTAGTCGTTGGCATATATGTACTCGGAGGTACTCGTTGGAATATATGTACCCGGAGGCATTCGTTGGTAAAAATGTAACCGGAGGTATTCGCTGGCATATATTTACCCGGAGGTACTCGTTGGTATAAATGTACCCGGAGGTAGTCGTTGGCATATATGTACCCGGAGGTATTCGTTGGCCTTTATGCACCCGGAGGTATTCGTTGGCATATATGTACCCGGATGTACTCGTTGGCATATATGTACCGGATATTCGTTGGCATATGTGTACCCGGAGGTATTCGTTGGCATAAATGTACCTATAGGAACTTGTTGGCACACCCGGTGGTATTCGTTGGCATATATGTACCCGGATGTACTCGTTATTAATACGGGGGCACGGTTGGCCGCGATTCGCTGTGCAGAGTTGCGTCCCTTGGGCACGCCAGAAACCTATGATTGCGGGTACGAATCCTGGTTCGCCCCGATTATGTTTCTAGGTTTGTCAGCACTATACCCGTGCTCGTGGGTTTAACGAAAGTGGTTAACGTCTAAGACCTGCACCACTTCGGGCTTTCCTCCCACATTAAGCTGACACGCCTTGATATAACTGGAATACTGTTAAAAATGGCGTTAAACACAACTCTCTCACTCACGTTATTAATACAAGTAATTGTAGTCATGTGTCTGGGTAAGGGTAAAATGGGCCTGCAGACATATTTATCAGTATTCACTGAAGAGTCGAGTTCTGGAATTAACGAGCTTAACGTTCGATCTTCGTTGTGGTGGTTTATAACTATTATGTGTTAGCATCACAACATTTATTTAGAACTTGGTATGTGACATAATGTCGTACATAAGGCCAGCATGTTAAGTGAGGAATACATCTGCCAAAACCACGAACCAGTACCATCAATGTGTTGCTTCAAAACCTGAAGACACGCCCACTCCTCCCTTGTGCAGGATTCCAAAGCCTCATGGCAACGACACATGATAAACTGCGATATATGCTTGGTCGTGCAATTGTACCAACAAAACCTTGTCTCAAAGATTAACCATAATCGTTCATACATTCAAGGAAGAGCTTTCTTCATATTCACAGAGGGTGTTTGAGACAAGTAGATTTGATACCATGTGTATTCTCAAAAACTCAAAGATTTGCTTGAATATGTTAAATCTCAGAAAAGAACCAAGTACAAATATGTCAAAATATTTGAATTTTCAACTTTGCACACAACTATTTCCCATGACAAATAAAAGGGGAAACTTGATTCTTTGAATACATGGGGCGTTCATCACCAACGTGGCTACATATCTATCTTCAGGTGAAGGTTCAGGTTATTTGGTCAAGGGGCGGGCGGGTAGCCTAATGGTTAAAGCGTTCGCTCGTCACGCCGAAGGCCAGGGTTCGATTCCCGACATGGGTACGATGAAGTCCATTTCTGTTTTCCTCCGCAGTGATGTAGCTGGAATATTGCTAAACGTGGCGTAAAATCAGACTCACTTATTTGGTCAAAACGGAAAGCAAATATCATCTGAAGTTTACTGAGATCCCATTTTGTGCAATGCTGGACTTCCTCACTAATAACGTCTCTGTGAAATTTTGGGACATTTAGGACATTTTGCAAGAAGTAGGTATCGCTTTGGCAAAACCAAAACAAAGCAATTTGGCCAAGAAGTTTAACTTAAGCTCCGGGTATACCGCCTGAAGCAAGGAAAGGAACCAGTGTCTCATCTGTTATATATTTACATATATGGCACTCACATTTACATATATGGCACTCACACTTATATATATATGTCACCCACACTTATATATATATGTCACCCACACTTACATATATGGCACTCACATTTACTTATATGGCACTCACATTTACTTATATGGCACTCACATTTACATATATGGCACTCACATTTACATATATGGCACTCACACTTATATATATATGTCACCCACACTTACATATATGACACTCACATTTACATATATGGCACTCACATTTACATACATAGCACTCACAGTTACATATATGTCACCCACACTTACAAACATAGCACTAACAGTTACATATATGTCACCCACACCTACATATATGTAACTCACACTTACATATATGTCACCAGCACTTACAAACATAGCACTCACAGTTACATATATGTCACCCACATTACATATCTTTCACTCACACTTGCATACATGGCACTCACACTTACATATATGTCACTCACACTTACATATTTGTCACCCACACTTGCATACATGGCACTCACATTTACATATATGGCACTCACATTTACATACATAGCACTCACAGTTACATATATGTCACCCACACCTACATATATGTCACTCACACTTACATATATGTCACCCACACTTACAAACATAGCACTCACAGTTACATATATGAAACCCACATTACAAACATAGCACTAACAGTTACATATATGTCACTCACACTTACATATATGTCACTCCCATTTACATATATGTCACCCAAACTTACAAACATAGCACTCACAGTTACATATATGTCACCCACACTTACATATATGTCACTCCCATTTACATGTATGTCACCCACACTTACAAACATAGCACTCACAGTTACATATATGTCACCCACACTTACATATATGTCACTCCCATTTACATGTATGTCACCCACACTTACAAACATAGCACTCACAGTTACATATATGTCACCCACACTTACATATATGTCACTCCCATTTACATGTATGTCACCCACACTTACAAACATAGCACTAACAGTTACATATATGTCACTCACACTTACATATATGTCACTCCCATTTACATATATGTCACCCACACTTACAAACATAGCACTCACAGTTACATATATGTCACCCACACTTACAAACATAGCACTCACTGTTACATATATGTCACCCACATTACAAACATAGCACTAACAGTTACATATATGTCACTCACACTTACATATATGTCACTCCAATTTACATATGTGTCACCCAAACTTACAAACATAGCACTCACAGTTACATATATGTCACCCACACTTACATATATGTCACTCCCATTTACATGTATGTCACCCACACTTACAAACATAGCACTCACAGTTACATATATGTCACCCACACTTACATATATGTCACTCCCATTTACATGTATGTCACCCACACTTACAAACATAGCACTCACAGTTACATATATGTCACACACACTTACAAACATAGCACTAACAGTTACATATATGTCACTCACACTTACATATATGTCACTCCCATTTACATATATGTCACCCACACTTACAAACATAGCACTCACAGTTACATATATGTCACCCACACTTACAAACATAGCACTAACAGTTACATATATGTCACCCAAACTTACATATATGGCGCTC